TGTAAAATGAACAGCTGGACAATTTGGACATGTCTATGCATATCAAGGCTTCAAGTCATTCCAGTGAGTTAAATCAAATGTCATGGTGACCTTAGTAAAAAACAGGCATTCCCTGAAGATTCATTATAATGAAGAAATCTCTCAGCTGTGCATAGCATGTGTATCCCCTGCATTCGGAGAAGGAATAGGGAGGAAAATGGGTCAGTAGATAAAAGCATTTTTTGCCCAGATTTCTCAATTTTTCACTGTTGTTAACTCATACTTGAAGACTTGCCATGGAGAAATTACTTATCTAGTTTGATGAAGCACTGGAGATTATTTGGAAAGGGAACACATTGCTCTGCAAATGGTTACAATGATGTCTTTGGAAGATAAGACTTAAAAACTACTTTTTAGTATTTAAAATTTAGAACAAAGTGTGCTTAATTAGATTTGTTTTGTGAAACTTTTTTCTTTTCTCATTAAGACTGTTTCTGTGTTTTAGGTGAAGGCACTGAAAGAGAAGATTGAATCAGAAAGGGGGAAAGATGCTTTTCCAGTAGCTGGCCAAAAACTAATTTATGCAGGTAATGGATGTTCTGAAGCGACTATCCAAAGCTACCATGTATTTTATGCTCCTCTTTCACTTTGATGTGAAGTCTTCTAAAGATTATAAGTACTGAAATACAAACAAGTTAAAAAAAACCCCAACCAAACAAAAGGAAAACCAAAATGAACAAACAAAAAAACCCAGAAACCAAACCAACAACAGACCTTGTTGTCAAAGGGAATTCTTAATTTTGAATCAGAATTTTCCAGGCTTTAATACATGTGTGTCTTGTTACTTTTGCTCTCATAGCATGATATGCTAACAGATTTAGCCCTGGATGGGGTATGCTAGGTGAAGTAGAAATAGCTTTTGTTACAAGAAATCAGGATTTAAGCAGATCACACCTCATGATCTGGGTTAACACCTTTCTTGTTCTGTTTATGGTGTGTATACCTCAGAGAATTAAAAATCAGATTATTTCTTTTGTGCTAACAGAAACCCACAACCAAATTCTTGCTATACTAAGGTACTTTCAGTTCTTTTGAACTCTGTCATTAGAAACATGTATTATGTGCTATCAAAAAGCAGCCTAATATCAGATAAACATGAAATTACTTTATTTGAGCTAACATGTTATGATATTTTTTTTCCCAGTTTTTTGCAATGGACCTGGCCAGTCCATTCTGGCACTAATACACAGATCTAGGTTTTTGTTCTCATTTCGTATCAGAACTTGAAAAATACTGTTCAAATACCCCTCTAGTGCTTTTTTCCTCTCAAACTGTGCTTGAAAGAAACTTTGGTTGTCTTTTCACTTCTTAAGTGTACTGCTTTTTAAACAGTATTGGTTGTCCATTTCCAATACGCTAAAACTACTGATCACAATATAAAGATGCTAACGGAAGAAGGACTCTCTCCGTTTTATATGGACTTCTCAGGACTATGTTTCTTAGCAAGTTTTATTTCCATTGTACTTCTGTAAATGGAATGCACGTCAAGAACATGAAGGCAGAAGTCACATGTATAATAAAATGTGAACAAGGCAAAAAGTCTTGTGCTTTATGTATAATTGCATGACGCTCTTAATACTGTTTCTGTGATTAGAACACAATCAGGGATTCCATAAGATTATGTGATGTGACTCGAGTATTTTCAGAAGCCAGAATTTGTCTGCAGCATTGAATAATCCTCATAAGCAGTAGGAAATTTGGGAAATAAGATTTAGAATAGAAAACCATCCAAAGATTGATCGTATTTTTTTTCCTTCGGTGAGAGATACAGTAAGTGTGTATTGGTGACATTTTAAAATTTTTATTAAAATGAGCTTTCAAATTTTCAGTTTGGTAAAGCAGAGTGATACCCCAACTGAACCTGATTGAAAGTGTACCATTTGTTATTAAAAGAGCTTTCTAATTTTTTTTAAGAAATGTTAGGCTGATCAGCAGTGAGGTAGATCTATTGCGTTGTCATCTGTATTAGGATGCAGTATAAAAACAGTAAGCATGATGTATCCTGAGAAGATAGAAAATTGTAACTAAACCTGTGTAGGTTCTGAGTCAGATGCTACACCATCTGCTGCAGGTATTACTACTACTACGGTACATAGGTTCTTGAATATTTGACCTGCAAGACTAGTGGAGCTAGCAGGGGATAGGACCGTGTCACCTCATTTGTATATATAATGTGCCATAATATGTATGCATTGCTTGGTTTTCTTGCAGCCATCAGGATAAGGATGTGTCCTGGTAGTTAGGTGGTATATTCCACTAGCACTGAGAATGGTTATGAAAATATGTGTTTTCCTCCTGAAACAGGGCAGTGATCCTTGGCACATTTTCAAAAAATGAATCAGTTAAAATTGTGAAATATTTTCCATAAGTTCTGTAGTAGAAGTAGGTGCTATAAAACTCATGAAATACAGACCTAGTTTTCTGGTTTGTGGCACTGCGTCTAATAAGCTTATCCTAATTAAACCACAGATTTATAGTTTTTTAAATGTTTTAGAGTTTTTGTAGATGTGAGCAAATCTACTTTGCCGCAGTAGCATCTCTGCTTAGGTAACATGAAAAGTGGTAGTATAACAAAGGTTTCTGGTTTTGTCTGAGTATTCTTTTTTATCCTTTTGTCAAGGTAGCAGACTATGGAATTTTTCTAATGCTTTAGCCTTCTATTAAGAACAAATTAAGTTTGTGACTTTGCAACTTTATCTAGTGCAGATAGTCTGTGGCAGAGAACTGTAGATATTTTGTCTGTTTATGTCTAAAATCTTTCCTCTACATTACTTCTATCTGTGTTAAAGGTCCAGTAAAGCTTTCTGTCGGTTTAATGCTTCTGTTATAAATGGTTTGAAGCATCTTCAACGTTACGGCAACAGGCTTAAAGCTAGCTAGTATTGTGGCCATCATAGGAAAAGAATTACTTGTAGCTCTACTGCCAAACCTTAATTACCAAAACACTTTTTGTATCATTACGAGTATTTATAAATCTGCATAAAACATTATTTATGGGTTTTTTTGAACTGTGTTTATATGTGAGAATCCCAAGATCATCTAGTAATCTGTTAAATAACTTCTTTATTTGTATCTGTTTAATTTGCCAGGTAAAATTCTTAATGATGATACTGCTCTTAAAGAATACAAAATAGACGAGAAGAACTTTGTAGTGGTTATGGTGACAAAAGTGAGTAGTGTTTATTTTTGAAAAGTAACTTGCATTCATTTCATTCTTTTTTTTCATTGTGATGAGTGGTTGTATTTGCCGATCCTTAAAATCATTGGAATTTGATTATGTGAAACTTTTCATCATCAGTAAAGCTAAGGGCTTGTGTGAATAAATACTAAACATTGCTTCACAGTTCTAGGTTGCCTACGCTGATTGCTGTTGCTGTTCTGCACTGAAAGTTTAAGTCAAATAAAAAATTTGACAGTGGCTGATTTTACGGTTTCTGCTTTCTTTTTCTCTCTGTGTTGTTTTTCCAGTAATTTTATTAAAATGAAGAAGGGAACCTAGATTGTTTATTACTAAATCCTCTGTACAGAACTCTTGTAGTCTTGTTATGTTGCATTTCAAAAACTTTGTTGTCAGGCTCAACTGTTTAAACCAGTAGAGAAAGGATACATGTGCCAAGCAACAAGCCTGTGAGTTTTTAATGACTGCAATGGCACATTAAAGGGAATAACTGTGACATGTATTTGAAGTATCTCCTCTTAACCAGTTGCCAGATTGCTTCCAGGAATCAAGCCACTGATACACTAGGCATTCCAGACCCTTGGGATCTGAATAAAACTGACTTCATCTCTGTCTTGGGATATGAAGTTATTTTTGGTGTTAGAAGTCCTTCTTCTAACAAAAGAAGCCTATATTCAGTTGCCCTTTGTGTCTATCTGGTATTGGCTTATTAGATTCTCTGTTTGAATGTAGCTGTCAGTGCTGTGTTCCTGAGCAAACAAGTGTTCTAGTCTGTGGTTTGCCTGGAGAGGAGGCATTTATCAGTACAAGAAGACAGGTGCAGATGAGCTTTCAGAGTACAGCTTTAATTTTGTTTATAGCAGAAGGAATACAGACCTCCATGAAGAACTGCTAAATGCAATATCTTCTTATATTAAAGGACCTGTGTTTTGGAGTTGGGCTTGTCTTCAGTGTTATGGTCTTTTTGCTACATCTTTAAGCTCAGTTTCCCTTTCCTTGATTCTTTTCCAAATAAGACATGCCCTGTCATGTAAGCGCAACTTCTAACTTTGTCTGATGCTCCGTTGTGTTTCACTGTTCTTCTTTGAATGCTTCTTAAAATGTTCTTTATTGTGCCTGTTGTGTTGGACATGTTGTCAACCTCTCTCTTCCTTTCAGACAAAAGGAGAAAATAACATTTTTCCTAGTTTAAGCAAACGTCTGAAAGTGATTCACCTTGAATAAGTAGTTGTGTTTTGTTAAAGTTCAGCTATTTCTCTTGGTAAGGCAGAGCTGCAGGTCAGCCTTGCCAGTCCTTAAGGATATTCTAAGTAAGGGACTACAGTCATACAGCTTTCAAAAGCATAATTCTGTACTTTAGCTGGAAGTTGTGTGTATTCTGAAAAGTGTAGTTTCTATATAATGGGATTAATACTACACCAAGCAAAATTCGTGTTTCCAACAGATGTGAAGATTAAATCACAATTATATACAAACATTACCCACTCTAAATTTTTTGCTGTAGATTTGATAGTCCTTGATTCTGCTGGATTTTTGGTGCTCACTACAGAACTCAAGTACGTGAAATGTTATTTATGTAGTGCTTTGAATGTAAAGAGTGCATAAGTAAAACTTGTTGCAGGTTAAGTTAAAATTTTTTTAGCATCTCATTTTCCAGCAAATAGCATTCCTAATGAAATGTGATTTCTGTCAAATATGAGTGATGAGAAAACATTATGCTTGTCAGATGTCTTTTGACAACTGTTTTAGTTTATTCTGAAAAATGTCCTTTTGTAAAACACAAGATTGTTTTCACATTTAGACTATTGCGGTCTAAAAATGCTTAGATCTTTGCATTTCACTTCATACTCAAGTAGCATGACTGCTTAGGTGTCTAAATGAACACTTTAGTGACATTATCAGTTTCCTGTTTAAACAATAAAAGGCATTATAGATTTAATGTCTTGCAATGTTTCAATGTTATGCTTGATGTTAAGGCAGGAGTGTCAAACACAAATGGTTTAATGGAACTTAGTGTCTTAACTGTAGAAAGCATGGCTTTAGGAGCTTTGCGCTGTGTCTGAATTCTGTTGTCCTCCTATAGCCCAAAGCAGCAGCTGAAGTGACTCAGCAGCCAAGTACTACTACTGCTACAAGCTCAACAACTGCAGCTCCTGCACCAGTCAGTGTGCCAATCCCTGCTGCTGCCTCTGTGCCAGTTCCTGTTCCCCCAGCACCTGATGCAGTTGCTTATGAATCTGCACCTGAAGAAGAGATACTAGCAGAAAAACCATCTGAGGCACCAGCTGCTGTCAGCCCATTATCAACTGGCAGGTATGAATGAGCCTCCAAAAATGGCTTTCCTGGCCTCTTTTGTTGCTTGTAGTTTTGATTTTAAGTTGAATTTTCCATTACAGAGTTAGTGCAATCATTTTCTCTGTTCTGTATAATTTTTCTTGTTAACTGTAACTTCAGTTTCTGGCTCAAGTATAACATTACTAATGATAAGAAGTGCTCCCCCCTGCCCTGCTTATACCTTCACCTGTGGGAAGTGTGGTCTTAAGACTAAACCCATGCAGTGGAGAGTTAAATAACACAGGACTTGTGCTCCCATTAGGCATTTCAGAGTTATTGTGGCACAAGTTTCTTCTCAGATTGAGGATATTCGCCTGTGTGGGGATCTACTATTCACAAAGCTGTTAGACTTCAGAGAGATGTGTCGTGTCCTGTTCGTAGACCTCTGTGGTTTGAATCATGTTGGTTAGGTTTGAACCATAAGTTCTTTATTGCTGTAAGAGTCCCTTAATTTCTGGAAAGAGCTTTTTCTTCCAAAATGTAGATACATTATAGCTCTTAATCGTGTAATGTCTTAAAGCTACAAGGTTATTTGTTCTTCTTGGCCCAACTGCAGACAATTGTGGAAGTTGAAGTAGCTTTTAACCTCAGTTCTCTACATTTAAGAAAATCAAATAGAGGTTTCATCCCTGTTGTATACTGTGGCCTTTTTTTTCCTCACTTGAGGTCGCTCAAGTATGACATGGGATGAAAATGTTGTTAACTCTAATTTAGTGACCCTTGAAGTGCTGCATAGCATCAAGTCTTTATTTTTCATACACTGGTTTTCAATTATTTGTGTGTTAATTTATGTGAATACTGGTACATAAGACATTAACATTTGAAGTGGCATGGCAGAGGGGTTGGAACTAGATGATCTTTAAGGTTCTTTCCAACTCTAACCATTCTGTGATTCTGTGATACTTAAAACATCATCAAATATTTATGTGACAATAAGGAAACAAAACTTGCCTAATATCTTGAGAATGTAATCACAAATTTCTTGCACTGAATACCTTAATTGATGATTTAATTTTGCAGTTCTGAGAAATGGACATCTTTTAAAAATGGAATACAAGTGAAGCTTCATTTATCAGTCAAATAACTTACAGTTTTTTTAATGTTAATGGATGGTGTCTTTTGCTGCTCAGCTTGTCCAGTGGGTTGAAAGATTAGATTAAATCACTGCTTTTCAGGTTTTCCAGGTACAGATTGCAGTGCTGTAAAACTGCAGTAAGTGAGCCTCAATTTACATACTTAACAGGAAGCAAGAGAATGATTTAACAAAGACGTTATACTTATCACTTGCCTTGATTTCAGTGAGTATTTCTTGTTTCTGATTTGCTTTAGAAGTTAAATTACTAAGGCTGGTGAAGATTTACTGAGCCATGGCCAGGCAAGCTGATGTCCTGGTTCACCATTGATCTTTTTTCAGTTGTAAATCTTACTAGTGCTAGATACTTGCTGGAACAATTTTTTTTCTCAATGAAAAAATGCATCTCTAAATGCCTTGTCAGATTTTTAATGGCATCTTCTGAAAACTGATTCAGATAAATCTGATGATACCTCACTTGCTGAGTGTCTTTATAGATGTGAGGCTGCCACAGCTCCATGTACCCAGGTCTATCATGTGTCAAGACAAAACGTGTATTCCCAGTACATACGCACAATATTTATATACCTATATATATATAGCTGGCCGTATAGGTCAACACAGGCAGAAAAAAACACCACTCAAGCAACCATACAGCACCAGCAATCACATCCTGTTCCTCTCTGGCTACTCAGGGCAAAGCCCACTAATGCAAAATACAGATGTACAAATGTACAAATGAGCAATACTAATTTATCTAGTAGCTGGCCTTAGACAGTGTATTCCGATGGCTGGCCCCTAGATATCCCAGTCTCCCAAGTTTCTGGTACCTAGACACATGACTGCCTGAGCCCTGCAACCCTGCTCTAGTTGCTGATACTCAGATTTCCTTTGCATGTGTGTATATGTATCTCTTCAGCAGCTGGCTCTGACTTACAGCCATTCAATAACCAGCTATTGAGCTTCTTACCCTACTCACTGTAGTCAAGCTTTTGATGCTTACTGGTGGTTACACACGCACCAGTGTATGTATCCACACAGAATATCATGTACTTTAGTCTCTTCAGTTGCTGACACCCCAGGCAGATAGATCCCTGTGGTCCTTTCTCTGTTTCCTGGCACTGAGACTTCCACAGTGTCTGGTCTTGGCAGCTGTTGGCTCCACAGTCATGTGGATCCCTGTGACTCATGATTCCCTGTCCAGTTGTGGGCACTTAAACGTCCATACACACAGACATGCCTGTAGAATAAAGAGACACCGCCCTCAGCAAGCAAAATAGAAATTGATTTTAATTAGAAGGCAGGATGGGCTAGTGATCAAGTGCAGGGCATGGCCAGGCAAGTGCTGTTTACATCCTATTTTTGTTCTCTTTAGTCATACTTTTCATTTGCAGGGTATCTTGATGCTTCCCTTTCCCTGCTTTTGGTTCTTCCCCTAAATATCCCCCAGTAAGTTTTGCACAATCCCCAGATGCTTTTTGCTGGCATGCCATGGTGAGTTTCACCACCCTGTAATCAGTAATGCCCTTGATCTCTAAGGAGACCTGGAGAGCCTCTCTCATTGACCCATCAGAGGTGTCACCCTGAGACCAAGGGGCTGATGCTTTAAGCTACATCCCTGGGGAGAGACAGCAGAGGGGCACCCTTGGCTCTGACTGAGTTAATTGGGGTTACTCTGCCTGGTGATGTGCCTCTGTGTTCCTTTGTGTTCATGGAGGTGAGCCTTTAATCCTATAATTTAAGAGCTCTGATAACTTGAGATGGAGTAATTGCAAATGTTAGCAGTTTATATTTCCAGGAAAGTAGGATACTGTGATTTTAACAAAGTGCTTGCCACTAACCTCCTTGGCTCCTCATTGACGTCAAACTGATGACTATGGAGAAGCAGTTAGTGAGACTGTTGTGTGCTTTTGAAAATCTGCCTTGTTCTCCCACCCTTTAAAACATTCAAGCAAGCAGGTGGCTAATCCCTGAGCAGATGGGCAAGAGGCAAACTATTGGGGTTAGGGGAGGAGGTTGGCCTTTAAGTGTTAAAAATGGTAGCATTGTAAATTTGTAAAATCTCATCTCACTAAAAGACCAAAAGAAGGCTCTTTGGAAAGCCTTGTTGGTTTCTTAGAAACAAAAGGTGCTATTAGAGTTATAGCTGCTGCTGCTTTTTTTTGAAAAACAGGAAGTCTTCCAAAGTTTTGTAATTACCATTGCACTTGTCTTCATCTTACAGTACAACAGGTGATACATCTCGATCAAATCTTTTTGAGGATGCTATAAGTGCACTTGGTAAGTGGAGTGTTTTTTTTAATGTAGACATTATTTTGGTGCAGCAGAAAGAAATGACAGATTAGCAGATGTTGGTGTTCTCTTCTGTATCTGTCATTGTGAAACTTGTAATCGAAGTATTCCTTTCTGAGACCTGAAGTGGGTATCTTAGAACCAGCATCAAGAACTTCTTTACTAAAGAATATTTCACTAAATATATTTTTGCTGTGTAAAAGGAAGATCCTTATCATTCCTGGTTTTTTTTCCCTGTTTGCCTTAATTTATCTTCTAACTATTCAGTTTGAAGTGGCTTTAATAGAAAACTGGACATAAATATGTATATGCTTTTCTTTCCACCTTTGCTTCACAGTGTGTGGATCTCATAAAATAGCTGCCTGTTCCAGCTTTAAGAGTACTGCCTTTTGTCACATTAGATTAGATAAATTCACCAGATCTGCTGCTGTCTGCGTTGAAGTGTGGATGCCTCCATATACTTACAGTCAAGTCACTTTTGACAGTTTAAATGTCTTTCTCAGTGGAATAAACAGGGTAAAAACAATCAAAAGTTCTGTCCATGCTGGGAAATTACCGGACAAACCCACAACTCTTTGCTCCTACCTAAATTTATTGGAGGTTTGTTTTTTGTGGGTTTTTGTTTGGTTTTTCAGAGTGTACCAAATTAAGGCACAGGAATAAGGAGAATGTGGATTTTTTTATTTTGTTGTATCTCTAAGCATCTAGCTGCAACTTGGTATAGAAAATTAAAGAGTTTCACTCACATTTTTATGTGGGGGTGTGTAGATATACTGGAGGCAGATGTGATTAAGCAGCCCAAGGTGATTTAGGAGAAGTAATAATGTTACCTGTATTGGTGAAAGCCACTGGATTTAGTCTGTTTAACTGCAGCTTATGTCTTATGACATACTGTTTTAGGCTGAAGGAATGTACGAGCTGAAATATCTGACCGATATTGTAGGAGACAGTCAGTTGAGTTCTCTTACATTTTTAAAGTGACTGCAGCTACCAAAGGTGCTGCAGGCTTCTTTAACCATTCGTTATACCTTAGTGACCAAGATGTGGTTATCACAAATACCCATGTTAACAGTAATGACCAACAAGTTTAATTGAGCTGATGGTCTTAATTTGGTTATCTTCAGAATTGGAAATTTAAAAAAATCCTCTTTCAGTGTAGCAGTAGAGCATCACCTCACTACTGATTTTATATGAAAGTTCTTTGGTTGGTATCCAATACTGTAAACCCACATGTCCCTAACAGTTTTGAAATAATAGGCATTGAGGGCAATTTCCTGGATAAACGTACTGCAAGGGTTGTATGCCACAAGTTGTCAAAGGCTATAGGCATGAACTTTGTGGTTATTTTTCTTCAGAAACTGTCTTAAAAGGAGTTTGCTTGCACAAATTCATGTAGTATGTTTTTACGTCCTAATTAGGATCGTAGGCATGTTTGTATTGTGGCTTCTCAGTTACATTGTCTGAAGATAATTAATTGACTTAACTTTAAAAACCAGGGATTGTTTTCTACTGAATTGCTTTTGCTTTCAGTTAAATATGCTGACTGAAAACTGATGTGGCTATGTGTGCTACATGAAGATTTGCACATCTTGCAGTTCCTGTGCAACCAAATCTTTCACTGGAGCAACCTAAGCTTTCTTTAGTGCAGGGGGCAAAAATTATTGTGAGGAGTGTGATGAGCTGTATATGAAAGTTAATCCAGCTTTAAAATGTTATCTAAAAGACAAAAGCGAAGAGCAGAATCATTTCAGCGTTGACCCTACAAACATTCCCAGCAGCACTATGTAGAGATAGGCCTGACTATGTCATGACATTGCTGGTGTGCAATTCCCGATGTATTATTCTTTATCTTACTTTTGCACAACTTGTGTAAGTAGACTGTGTATGTAGTGCATGTGCCTAAATTCAAAGTAATTCTGTTTCTTCCTTTGGCTTTTAATTGTGGCTTATGTAGGAGTCTGTCCAGTGCAAGTTGGCCTTCTTGGATCTTTTTTTAATACGAACGAACTCATACTGTTCTAGTCTTTACTAGTTTTTTTCTCTAGCCTTATATTGAAAGATCACTACAGAAGTGTTTTAAGTAGTAACTAATTAGAGAAAAAGGTGTTCTGTCTGCTCTTTGCCTTGATTAGTTTCTTAGCAATAGTGAAGATAAAGTAGCACTGTGTAAGAAAGAACGTGAGCAGCGGGTTTGTCAAAGTCACTGTGCTGGGACAATTGTTGGCTTGGCTTTTTTGCTTCTCTGAAGATATGTACAGAAATATGTGTCTTTAGTGCAAAGTTTAGGTGATTTTTTTTTTTTGCTTTGTCTTTGAAAAAAATTAATGTAGATGTAAAAAAAATAATCTTGAGGTTATATATGAAGCCATGAACTTACCACTTCTTAAACTCAGGCTGGCACTATTATTTTGAAGACTGAACAATAGATACTCAAATTAGTCAAGGGTTGCAAATCCATTATTTATATTTGTGGATAATGCACAAGTATGCTTGGGCTAGGGCTGTTTTATTACTTGTTCTTGAGTATATTGTCCTCAGTCATACATCCACTGATTATTTAGAAGCTCTCTTTATTTTTAAAGCCATGTGGTTGTGTTAATATTGGCTTCAGTTAAACAACTTCTCTCTAAGGGTATAAAACAGTATTTTGTGTTTGTTCCTTTTAATTGTGACTTACTTTTCTTAACAGAGTAGCTCTAGCAGTATTTGTTTCCTCTATTTTTTTTAATCTATTGGTTTTTTATGGTGACTTGTTAATTGTTTAACTCTCCTACCACTGGCTTATTAGCAGTCAGTAGTAGAGTTCCACTCAAATCAGGAATACCTTTAGCCAAGGAAGGAAATGCTATTTTAATGCCTGGATTTGGCTTTATTTTTCTGGTTTTTTTGCATGAGAAGATAACCTTTAAGATGTTGCTCCATTACAATTTATAATGGAATAGTTATTTTTTGAATTGTTAAACATGCTGTATGCTTTTATTTAAGGGAAATAAAATTGATTACAAGAAGAGATAATAATTTTCCCTACGATACCATTAGTGTAGTGATCACTTGTCTTTAAATTACTCCATATGTAGTGTGTGTACCCTTCTGTCTTGATGGCTGTAGATGTGGGACAGTTTTAATGCATTTTTGCTGTAAAAGATAGGAGATCTGATGTGATGGATGTCTAGTCAAATATACATGAATTAAGTGAGTTAACTTGCTCTCCTGAACCCTCACTGAGATCTTGAGTGACTTTCCTAGATACAGCTTTAAGTCTTCTGCCTGAATTGAGTTTGTCCATATTAAGTTGATTAAATTACTTTAATCATCATCACCAGCATGTAGCAGTTGTAACTTGGTCATCGCTATTTGTCATGTGTCTAGCTATAGCACAGTGTAAAATCTCTATTTGGAGAAAAGCTCAATGGCAGTTTGGCAGACAGATTTCTGCCTAGAAAGGTCAGTTTCCAAACTTATACTGGAGACTTTTCTTGATTACGTCAGGAATTGAATATTACCTCTGAGGATGTCCTTGACCTGAGACGAAAGCATAGAGAGGGAGTATTATTTCAGTTGTGAGTACAGAAGTATCACAGTTGCTGCTTTTTTCAATGGAAGTTTGCATTGTGTGTGTTACCAAACTAATGCATAATGGAGTCACTAGAATATATTTGGATTTTAAGCAACAGAACCATGGCAAGTTTAATATGAGCTTTTCTTTACTCTTCATTGAATATCTCAAATAAGGGTAGAAATTAAATTTATTAATTGAAACTTTTTTCTGCTTTTTTTTGCCTTATTCCATTAAAATTATGGTAATGTTACTTCTAGTGACAGGTCAGTCCTATGACAATATGGTGACTGAGATCATGTCGATGGGCTATGAACGAGAGGAAGTAATTGCGGCGCTGAGAGCCAGCTTCAACAATCCTGACAGAGCAGTGGAATACCTTTTAATGGTGAGCAGTTTTACCTACATTCTGTTCTTTCACTTTTTAATTTTGTCCTTGCTAAAGAATAATTTTAGCTTTGATGTTAACTTGATTAACTTTTGTTATTTTGAATATTATTCCATCAGTGAGAGTATACCTCTTCATAAAGGAACAGCATCTTTAAGCAGAGCATCTGAAGGTCTGAGGTTCGGATTTTGAGGGTCATAATGTATTACAGGAAATACTGAAGTCATCCCTAACTACCTCTGTCACAGACTCTACATGACTGTAGTTAGATGAGATTAGTGAGGTGTATGCACCTTGTTCATGCAGCTATCCAATAGAATAAAGCATGATACCAGTTCAGATACAATTAATTTTGAATGCCCTGGAAACTGAGTGTTGTGGTGTAGAGGATCTTGTACACTCTTGCCCCTTCGTGGGGCTGGATTTAACATAGCTCCCCTCACTATAGCTCTGTCTGTATCAGGAGGTTTACTGCTCTCTGGAGTCTGCCTCTTACAGGTTCTTGTTGGGCAACTTCCCTTGCCTCTACCACCAGGGCTTGTAGTCATATAGAAATCTTGCTTTGTGTCTGTCCCGTGCCAAGCTGCCCAAGTTTCTAGGCTTCAGGGAGAGGAGTGGAAGGGACAAGTTTGGTGCAGGAGTTCACTGACAGTGGAGAAAGCATAGTTAAGGTGGAAAGTTAGAAGGATTCCTGTGCAGGAGAAAGGTAATATGGTAAGTTCTGTCTCTGTTGTGTAACCCACATTCTAATTTACTATTAGTGTTCTTTTTAAAATTTGTCAGTTTCATCCCCTTGAGTAATTAGTCCCTATATAAAGTTGTTTGCACATCGAAAATAAATAAAATGCAAGTTAACTGTTTGGTTTTTTTTTGACTGCTAAAATTTTATAACATACAGGGCTTTTCCACTTAAGATACAGTAAATGACAGTTGTCACATTGCTGTGTTGAGGAAAGAGGTCCAAAGAGCCGTGTTCTTATGTATCTTAATTTCTTGCCAGATTGTATGGCACCTATAATCTTACTGTTAGCATTGTGTATTACAGTTCTGTTGCTGTAATGTAATTTGCATAACACTATAACATTAAACAGTATGTTTAATTTAACTTTTTCACTTACATCAGATATCTTGGAACAGGATTCAAAGCAAGTATTTGTTTACAGAGTAAAATCTATTTTAAACTGATGTAGTGCATGCTTTACTACCTTGCTATATGAACCACATATTTTTCTTGTCAAAAACCAGATTACTCTTTCTGCAATATTCTTCAGCTGTAATTGCATACCTATCACAGCATTTTGCTTTGTATTTGCAGTGAAAGTACTAATGTTTTTTCCTTTGTTCTGAAAACTAAATAGTGCATGCAGTAAAACAAAGATCCTAGCATTCTGTAGGTAATTATGTGAACTGTGGCTTTAGGGTATACCTGAAGATAATCAGGCTATGGCTGAACCCCCTCAAGCAGCAAATGCTGATGCCTCCCAGTCTTCAGCAATGGCAGGAGCAGTAGCAACTATACCTACGGCTACTAGTTCATTAGGAGGTAAGAAAGGTTGTATTTGAGAGGATGTGATAAACACATGCACTTACGCATTCTCTGCTTCAGTGAATTTTAAGTTCTTGGTGCTTGTGAACTGATCAAAGTGAATTGGATAAGAGCTGTAACATGGAAATTCCGTAAGAGTGATATTTGCTTGGAACAAATGGCTTGTTGTATGTGGATATATCTGGGATAAAGCATAAAGTTTTTAATAATGCTGCAATCTTGCACTATTCCTTTGATTCAGTATTCTGGATTTAAATGTAAGACCACAAATGTGGAGGGGGTTGTGTTTTCTCTCACTTAAACTCTGGCTTTCTACTTCTGTGGCTCTCTTCACTGTCAACTGTGAGTATACTAATGCATTTACCACTTGGAATACCAAGGGACAAACCTGCAATAAGTTGTGAGGTTTAGCACCTGAAAGACATATCCATGACCTAGGATTCTTCACTCAGCAGTGCAGCACATGGACAGAGTGGTTACTGCCTGCTGAGGAGCACTGTCTTAAAGGGAAAGAAATACATAAAAGGAGCATAATCAAGTAGTAGGAAATGTCTGTCTTTAGGCTGTGGCAGAGATGGTGTTCACGATATAAGCCTTGATAGAGGCAAGTGTTAAACATTTGTGTACCAGTGACAGGCCCACATGGCATCATCCATAAAAAGAGAATGGGGGGAACAGGATTTCCCTCCTAGAGCACTTTTGATACTGTTATGTTCAAGGCAGTACTTAACAGTGTAAGTTATATGGGAAGGCAAGACTCACTTGAGAAGAACAGAACTGATCTATTGAAGGAGGTAGAGAACTCTGTTATAGGCACAGAGAGAAGAGAGTAGACTGGGTAGGTGTCTCTGAATGAGGCTAATCAGAGATGAGACAAAGAGAAAAGTGTTGGATGTTAAGGACACAAGGCTGTTGGATCTTAAGAGAAAACTGTGTTGAAAGAAAAGGCATTGCTTAACCTTAGTAGTTAAAGGCAATTCTTAGTATAAAGAATTCTTGCCTAATGCTAGAGAAAGTTACTGTGAGAAAGCAACCTCTTCTGTTCAGTGATGAGCGTATTGTCTGTTTTTGTGTCCTGTTTCTATCTACAGTTATAGGTATGTATTTTATTAAGAGGCTTTAACTTTTTTAAAAACATGTTGTCTCGTTGATTTTTCAGGACATCCACTTGAGTTTTTACGAAATCAGCCTCAGTTCCAGCAGATGAGACAAATTATTCAGCAAAATCCCTCGCTGTTACCAGCATTGCTACAGCAAATTGGACGGGAAAACCCTCAGCTACTGCAGGTGAATCTTTAAAAACAAAATAGTGCTGCTGGTTTTGATTTAGCTTTACAAGAAAGGGATATGTTGTTGTTAACTGGAATATTGCGTTAATGGCAGTTACATTATTTTTGGCTCTTTGGTAGTTGTTGCTGTGCAGAATGTATTTTTTATGAAATCAGAAATGAGTCTGAGTCTCTTTGTAAGAAGTGCAAAGGGCATTAGGAAGAGGGAAGGGTCACTGCAACTGAACTGAAGCATGAAATTGCATTTCTCATGGTTAGATTTAGTAATTCTTCCTGTACACTTTTTACACATTCTTTTGTCTACTTAATTCACTGAAAAGAAATATTCTTACTTGTCTGCTGGCAGGCTTAAACATGCTTTATTTCAATATATTAATTTCTTTTATTTTCCCGTGCATCACAGCAAATAAGCCAACATCAGGAACATTTTATTCATATGTTGAATGAGCCAGTTCTAGAGCCTCGCCAAGGTTTAAGTGGCAGTGGTGATGGTGGCAGCATTGGAGGAATAGCAGAAGCTGGAAATGCTCATATGAACTACATTCAAGTAACACCTCAGGAAAAAGAAGCTATAGAAAGGGTGAGCATTTTTTCTTTGAAATATTGCTTGGCTGTTGCTGTAGGGTGTTGTCTCTGGTGCATACTTAAGACGTGCCTTAACATAAGCTTTTGTTTGCTTATGCTCAGTAGTTCTATGTAATTTTTGATACTTCGTAACTATTAGCATTCTTGTTTCAAGTAACATCTCTTGTTTTTTAGCAGTTGTGTCTAAAATATCTTGAATCTGTCTGTCTTAGAAGATGCTGAGCCTTTTAAGTGATCAGAGGCCATCTGTGATAATTGATAATTGAATGAGTTTCCCTCAGGAGTGGGGGAATGTGGGCAGTAATTCCTCTTGCAGTAGCCTCAGATGGTGCTGTTCTGGATGGCGCTGTGATAGGTTTCCAGGTACACAGGTGTGTCTGCCTACACACTGCTGGCAAAGCACTTGGATAGTAAGAGCTCTCATAGTTAAGTAGATTAGTCGAAGTTGCTACTTAACCCAGTTATTTGTCTATACTTGAGAATTAGTTAATTACAGCTTTCTAAAAATACAGGTAAACATGTCTATAAATATACTTGTGGTGATATATGGCATTCACAAATACAGTGTGTAACATTGACTAAATACAGATTTGCATAGATGGCAGTGCCTCTGAGCTTTTTCTTAGAACAAGTTTCAAAGACTTGCATCACTACCCATGGTATTGTTTTTGCATATGAAAGACAGCGTTTTCCAACTGGCAAAGCAAAAGGTTACATAAGGATCATCAGAAAAGAACAGGTTTTTTTATAGTTGTAAATTGCTTAGATCTCAAGGAAATTGACAATTAATAAAATTAGTCAAATAAAACTGTTTGCCCGTGTATTTCTTGACAGATCATCCTCTCTAGTGTGCTGCATTTGCTTTTAAAACCATTTTATGCAGTAGGGCATTAGCTCTACAATCTGTTCCAAATTGCAGCAGAAACCTGTATTACTACTTCCCCTTTCCATGAAAGGCACACCTTAAGGTTTAAGTGTCATAATATTACAGCTGACACACTCATGTTTGTAAACATGGAGTTAAGTTTAACAATGGCTGATTAATGATTATAGAACATACTTACTGGCAGAGGTTTCATCTGCCCTATATGTAAAATGCTTTGCAGGTGCTATGATTTTAAGAAAATCCCCAAATGGTAGTATGTACTTGCCTTTGGCTAAAACAAAGATTGGCTTGCTGAATGTCTTCAAGTGCAGGTTAAACCCATTTCCCTTGGCACAGTAATAAGCTTTTCTCTAGTATTCTCATCCCCAGTTGTCATGTGTCCCAGACATTAATTAGTTCCATGACTTCTGAAAAACAGATTGCTCTCAATTCTTATGGCTGCAGAGTGTAGTCAGTTTTTTTAAAGTAAAAGTCCAGTTGGAACAATTGAAAATATGGCATGAAGTTATGTGTTGGGCTACTTACCAGTGATCACAGGCTGGGAGCTTCTGCTCCAAGCAACTTATGGCTTTTTTGTTTTCCTTTTTTTCTTAGCTTTGTATGATTTATAGTTTACTATAGCTTATAATATATTCATCAGCAACCTGGACGAGGGAACAGAGTGCACTGTCAGCAAGTTTGCTGACGGCACAAAATTGAGAGGAGTGGCTGACACTCCAGAGGGCTGTGTAGCCATTCAGGAGACCTGGAGAGTTGGGCAGGGAAAAACTTAATGAAATTCAACAAGGGCAAGTGCATCTGGGGAAGAACAACCCCATGTACCAGTATAGGTTGGGGACTGACCTGTTGGGGAGTAGCACAGCAGAAAGGGACCATGAGCCAGCAATGTACCCTTGCGGGTACAATGGCATCCTGGGGTGTATCAGAAGGGG